TGATGTTAACACAGGTTACAGGTTCAGAGGGTTTAAAGTGGAACACCCAAGCAGGGGTGTTAGGTATGGCAATTAGTGAGGAACCTTTGGGCAGACTCCTTAAATAGGTAATATAGAAAAGTTACACATATAGTCAATTGTATGCTCTCCTATAGTAGTTCATTGAACCACAATACTGATAAGTGATTAATAAAAGTCAAAAAGACCAAAGAGGTTACTTTAAAAAAAAAAAAAATAAAAAAAAAATAAATAAATACTCATACAATAATAAATATTTCAATTGGCTGTTATAATAAAAAAAATTTATATAAACTTGAAATAGATATGCTTATGAAATAAATAATGAATACTGGCATTGAAATTTTTTAAAATGAAAGACATTTATAGAATAAATAATGTTGAATATTATTATCAATATAGAATTTAACTAAAGATAAAAAGCATGTTCTAATTTATTTAACTAACCTCACATTTTGAGTTTTATTTAGAAGATATAAAAGCATATTAGTAGGTGTAAATGTATAATAATAATGAAAGACTTAAATGCATAGTTTTCTTATTTAGACCAATTCTTTTTTACAAATGCCAATTTAGATATCTGTTTACACTATTCATGATTTAATCAGAAAGAATTTATAGAATATCATACTAGTTATAATGTAGTAATAGAATTTTTTTTCCTTTACAATTTTTTTAAATATTAGAAAAAGTTGTTACAAAGAAGGTTCATTAGTTATATACTATCCAAAACAAAGCTCATGTTGTTCAGATAGTACAGCTGAAGGACAAACTAAATAAAATTAAAAATAGCAAGTTATGTTGTCTTGAAAGTGCTAGTAAAAAGTGCTTTTTTTCTAAAGAGAAAGTGAGAATTTATAGTTGGATATTCAAAATGCATAAAGTAGCATTTGCTGTAATATATAATAGTCTTAAGTTAAAAATACTAAGAATTGTCTTTGAAGCTGCTTCAAAAAGCAATAATCTTATAAAAAAAAAACTTGCAGGCAACTTCAAAGCTTCTTTAATGTAAACAAAATGTTTTTTAAAATATTATAATCTTGCTTTGTATTGAAAAACCAAAATCTCACAAAAAATGCTTGCAGATCTTGAACAAAAACTGCTTAATTTTCAATGATATGTAATTAAGTTATATAAAAAAAAACTATCCTCTAAGTAATATAGCGAATATAGATAAAACTTCTGTTTGGTTTGACATAACTGGTAATCTTACTGTTGAACAAATTGGTACTAAAACTGTTTATATTCATATAACTGGTAATGAGAAGAATTGGTTTACTATAGTTTTGATATGTTTTGCTAATAAATAAAAGCTTTTTTTTACAATTCTGTTCAAGAGCCAAAAATGGACTAAGACTAAACCTCTTTCTCCTTCTGGTGTAGTTAGGTCTTTTTATAAAAAAGGCTGGATAGATGAATTGGGCATGTTAGCTTGGACTAATAGTTATATTGAAGGTCATTCAAGCAGTTAAAAAAATAAGTCTTCCTTTTTAGTATTTAACTCATTTAATGTATATCTTACTAATCCAGTTAAGGCAAAGTTATATAAAAACAATAATGATCTGGTTGTTATTTTGGGTAGTCTAACCTTTGTATGCCAACCTCTTGATGTTTCTATAAATTATCCTTTCAAAGTAGCACTTCATTATTACTGACATATGTGAATAGCAAAAAATAGTTTTGGCAAAACCAAGAAAGAAAACTTAAAATATGCAGAATGATATATCATTTGTGAGTAAGTACTTGCTGCTTGGACAGAAATTGATTTTGAAATTATTTGGCATACTTTTTATAAGTGCTCTATTTCTAATATAATGAATAGATCAGAAGATAACAAAATATATTAGGATGAAATCCTTAGTAATAAAAGTAAAGAAATTAGCCAAAATGAAACTCATCATGCTTCTAATAAACATAATGTAATTACAATCAATTCTAGTAATAATGAAAAAGACTGTAATGCAATTATTGAAAAAAATGCAATTATTAAAAAAGATGCAATTATTGAGGAAGTTGCAATTATTGAGGAAGATAAAAAAGTTCTTGTTTTTACAATTAATTAGAAAAGAATGATTAAAGTTTTATAATAGTGTAATAAAGTTAAAGATAGTTTTGCTCTTGAGTCATTTTAAGATTTAACAATATTGTTTTAAAAAAAACTATATTATATAAACAAAAAAAAAGAATTAAATAACACATATTTTAGTAATTAGAATTAGGTAATTTTTATAGCATTCAATTCTTCTTTTTGAGAAGAATTAACTACTATAAAAATCATTATTTTAATTACTATATTATGAAAATTTTGATTGTCCAACTTGCTATTAGTGCTTATTAACTGTTATATAAAGAGCTTTGCTTAATATAACATCATATACAAATAACCTTTTTATCTAAAATATTTTTACTCTACTTAAGAAAATGCATAAGTTTTATTGAATTAGATAATTTATATATAAAAAAGAAATTTTAAACTATATTATTAAACTTAATCTTAATATGTATAATGCTAAGACAATTTCAGATCAGATCTAAAATCACCTTTCTAATATTTTAATTAGTATGTTAAGGTAGATTTGAGTGTTTACTTTTTATAATTTTTTATTAATTAGCATGCAAGACTGATTGATTTACATATTAATTCCAGATTAAAATTATAGATTGTATATGTCTAGTGTTTTATTATTTTGATTGGTTTCAAATCAAAAATTGTAGACCAGATATATGACATAAAGGTTTTTAAAACTGGAGGTTGCTTATATTTGGTAACTAATAATTTTTTTCATTTTTCTTATTTTTGATATTTCAAATTAAAGGAGTTGCTTTTATTCAGGAGTTGTTTTTATTTGATAATATACAGTATGTTTTTAATAAGTATTAAGATTAAGTAAATTGTTAGAAATAATTTGATTAGTAATATTTTAAGAGTAAAGTATACAAAGATCATTTTTTATATAATTTTTGTATTACAATATAATTTTTATAAAAAATAAACCTTTACTACTAATAAAACTTTTTACTGTTGCAATTAATTTTTATCAAATTTTTATATAATATAGAATAAAATATATTTTTTATAATAGTAAAATTTTTAATGAATAAAATATTTTTAAAAAAAATATTTGTATATATTGCAAAGTTCTTTGTAATGGCTTCAAATTTTTTGTAGTTACACAAAATTGTTAATCATAATTAGTTCAAATCATATGATCTTTATATAATTTATATAAACAATTTATAATACTTAATTTTTAAACATATATATCTTAATTAATATTTAACTAATTTTAATGAATTTACTATTATTATAATTAAAAAAACATATTCTACAATTTTTAATTAATATTTAAAAACAGTTTATTTAAGAAAATATTTTTTTATTTTTAATTAAATAAAAATTTACTATAAGTTTTATATATAATTTGAAAATCATATACTCTACCCTTAAATAATTTGATTAAGCAATATTGGGTTAGCATAAATATGTTTTTTTTTTTTTTTTTTTAACCTTAAACAGTTATGCTAGTACTTTATTAAGATTCTTAAAACTATATATTTATACAATTATATAGAATTTTCTAATATCTAAGTCTAGCATCACTCGGCCACCCTAATGATACCTAAGTACAACTTGCCACACTATCTTAGTTAAAGATAGACTGCTCGTCTAACTACTTAAAGCCATATCAGAAGAGTCTTCTCCCTTCTGTGACAAGCATATTTATTGTCTTCGTAGCTTCTTTCTTTATTTGGTCTAGCTTTTCTGCTTTTTTTTCTTTTTCTTTTTCTTTTGCTTGTTTATCTTTTTTTACTCTCTTCTTTGTTTTAACTCTTGCACAGGCACCTTTTTTTATTTTGTTTGTTATATTGATCTTTTTCTCCCAGGCTTGTATTTTTTTACATTGTATTCTCCATACTTGGTTATAGAAGGTGTTCCATACTGTTCTTGTTACTATATTTATGCACTTCTGTATTGCCTGCTTGCTTAAGAATTGCTCAAGTCTTTTCTCTACTTTTAATATCATAAGTCCCTTTATCAGCACTTCTCTGTTTATGATTTTTTTAGCTTCTGTTTCTCCAAATAATGCCTTGTATAGAACTTGTAATGAAATTCTGTTTTTTTCCTCTTTCTTGAGTCTATTCCATGCTGTTGCTGTTGCAACTTTTTGAATTTACTTCCACAGGCCTTTTTGTCTACTGCAACTCGCTAAATGTGCCTGAGTTTCTTTTTCTCCAACTTGGCATACTTGGCACTCTGCTGTTATATATACTTCTGGCCTTCTTTTATTTAGCTTCTTAAGTGTTGATAGGCTATTCATTATGCATTTAATTGCTGTAGCTTTTCTTGTACTAAGTTTTCTTGACGTACAATGTACTCCTTTTGTTCTGTTCATTTCTTTCTAAAAGCTTGACCAATTATATAATGCATTTTATGTATCTGATTCTAATGTTCGTATTGGGTTCATTTCTCTCTAACTGGCTCCTATTCTGGCATTTGCTATTATCTTACACAGAAGTCTTGCTAGTATGTCAATTTTCTTGTTTTCCCATTCTAAATGATATTCTATCTCGTCACTTTTAACTTTATCTGCATATATTTTATCTTGGCAATTTGCTCCTTTCTTTGCAAAAGAGTCTACTTTGTCATTTTATTTATTTTCACTATGGCTTTTAATCTTGATTAATTCTATCTTGATGTTCTTGCTCTTGATTAGACCTACAATGCTTAGTATCTACATTGTGTTTTTTTTCTTTAGAGTTCTTTCTTCTTCTATATTCTGTAGTGCTCTACTAATGTTTCTTAATGCTGCAATACTATCTGTAAACACTTCTACACTTTTCTTTTCTAATATCATTAAGATTGCTGTCTATATTGCTGCTAATTCTGCTATTGTTGCTGAAGGCCAACCTTCAAGTCCTAATGTGATTTCTTCCTCTGGCCAATCTTTTTCTTCTTCTATTTGCACCCAACTAATACCTATTCTTTCTGTGCTATTTTCATCTTTCTTCTTGTATAGCACTCCATTAGTATAAAAGCTGTATTTTTTTTTGTCTCTCTTTTTGTTTCGCGTTAATATCTCTACTAACTGATTTGTAATCACACTGTTTAGTTTCTGTATTCTAATCAGTTCTACTTCTAATTCTTCTGTTTGTCTTATTCCTAACAACTTCATCTCGTCTCCTTTCTATTCTTCTATTGCTCTATCTTCTTGTATCTGTTCTAGTGTTGCATTGATCCTATTATTGACTTTCTCTATTAGTAACTCTGGTATTACTCTCATATTGTGGTCTTGTCTTATCCATCTTTCGCACTTGTTAGTCATTTGTTCTGAACCATTTTCACAACCTTTGCATAAACTTAATTCTGTTACTGTCCTCCCTTTTTCTGTATGCATTGATCAGTGTTCTGTTGACACTTTTTTCTTTTTCTTCTTAATTACTTTGCCTAATTGTTAATTGTGTTTTGGTCTATAAGTGATCCATTCTTTTTTTCTTCAGTCTTCAGATATCTTTGTTTACTTAATCTTTAATGCTTGTGTATTGTATCTTCTTATTTTGTAATTATCTTGTATTTCTCTACTCGCTA